TGGAGCAGCCTGGTCTAGTGGAAGGTAACCCTGCCCTGGGGAAGGGTTGGAACTGGCTGATCTTTAAAGGTGCTTTACAACCCAAACCGTTCTATAAAACTCAACGTGAGCTGCAGTGTGTGCTCGCAGCCCGGAAAGACAGCCTGGGCTGCCTCCAAAGCAGCAGGTCGAGGGAAGGGATCCTGCCCCTCTGCTCTGGTCAGACCTCGCCTGGGGTGCTGCATCCAGCTCCGAGGTTCTCAGCCTACGAAGGACATAAAAGTGTTGGAGCAAGTCCAGAAGAGACCACAAAGTTGATAAGAGGGCCAGAGCACTTCCCTTACAAGGACGGGCTGAGGAAGTTGGGGCTGTTCAGCCTGGAGAAAAGAAGGTTGTGGAGAGACCTCATAGCACCTTCCAGTGTCTGAAGGAGCCTACAGGGGAGAAAGGAAGGACTCTTCATCAGGACCAGGGATAGGACAGGGGGGAATAGCTTCAAGCTGAAAGAGAGTAGATTTAGATTAGATATTAGGAAGAAATTTCTTACTGCTCACTTCCTCACCTCACTCATGTGGTGAGGCAGTGGCACACATTACGCAGAGAAGCTGTGGCTGCCCCATCCCTGGAAGGCCAAGCTGGATGGGGTTCTGAGCAACCTGGTCTCGGGAAAGTGTCCTGAGGGGGGTAGGGGTGTTGGAACTAGGTGATGTTGAAGGTCCCTTCCAACCCAAATGTTTCTGTGATTCTGTAATTAAAAATAGGGCAGCTCTCACTCTTATTTTTGGCAGGGGAGTGGACAGGGCTGTTGGCTTTCTGCTGTTATTAACTGCTGTGGTTCTGTGAAGTCTTTCATGTTGCATTAATCACATGGAAACTGTAGGTACTTACTTGGCAGAAATCAGTCTGGTTATTCTGGAAGATGTTATCTGAGCTCTTTGTAGTCTTCTTTAAGTCCTCGCTGCATTTCATAGCTCAGGAGGACAGCTTGATGATTAAAGCCAGGTAGTTTCCTTTAACCGTGGAAAATTACTCATGACATTCTGCAGTAGACATTAGAACAAAAACATTTAAAATGTGCACCGAGGAGTGAATTGTCTTTTAAAACCTTTAGACTAGCAAACATTTGTAAATGAGTTATATTGTTGGACAGGCTTTTCCCCCACCTGAGCTTGTTAGTGATGTTGTGTTGGAGAGGAATCTCTCTGGAGCTTTGTGTCCTGTTTGGTTTGGTTGCAGATAGCAGAACTTCTGTCCGTGCAGTGTCTATTCTCAGCATGTGTAATGTTGAGTTTCCTTGTAACTTGCTTGCAGTAGATGTTTGTGGGAGGCACCTGCAAGGTGGAGAGCTTCCTCTTAGCATGTTTTGAGCACATGGCAGGGCTTTTATCAGAGTCACTTGCTGATAATGAAACAGAAAACGCCAGTGTTTGCAGGAGTGCCTCCACATGGTGGAGGTCTTACTTTCTGCCCCTCAGTATTTCTGTTCACTGTGTGACCTCATTGATTGCAGACACCCAAAACCAGCTTGAGTTGGATTTCTTGGCAGCTGGAAACACATGGATCAGAATTGATACGGAGGAAGCAGCAGCCTGGTGGTGGCAACCTGTGCTGTCTCTCACTGTGGTTAGGGATGAGAGTGAAAGTGAGGGGAAGCAGAGGTTGTAGCACGTTAGTTGTGAGGGGAGGAGTACCCCCAACGTGGCTTTGTTAGCTCTGCTGGTCACAGAGGTGGATGTTTCCGTACGCACAAGCTGTACCCACATCAGACCTGTAATCCTCTAGAAATTACGATAGTGACTTTCCTTCCAGCATTCTCTTTGTCTTGAAAAAACCCAGAATATTTAATAGTTTGAGTTATAAATCACACACTGGAACCTCTGTAGTTGCATTTGGAATGATAGATATCATAGAATCACAGAATTTTAGGGGTTGGAATGGACCTTGCAGATCATTTAGTCACAACCACCCTGTCATGGGCAGGGACACCTCCCCACTAGACCAGGTTGATCAAGGCCTCATCCACCCTGGCTTTGAACACTGCCAGGGTTGGGGCATCCACTATCTCCCTGGGCAACCTGTTTCAGTGTCTCATCACCCTCACAGGAAAAAACTTTTTCCTACTATCTGGCCTAAATCTCCTCTCCTTCAGTTTGAACCCATTACCCCTTGTCCTATCCCTGCAGTTCCTAACATAGAGTCCCTCTCTGGCTCCATAGTGAGGAGAAAATGAAGAGGTAGGGAGGGAAATTTCGTGCAAATATGATAAAGCTGCAATGTGTTTAGGTTGCTCAGTTTGACATTCTTTAAGAAAAGCCTTCTTTTACCTCAGCCATCAGTTAATGCCCTTGGTAAGTCTTGTTTGGGCAGATCCAGGACTGTGTATCCTTGGAGAGTGGGGTAAGTGCCTTGTCCATAATCACTTTTTGGGGGTTTGTTGGCTTTGCTGCATGCTTGAGTGGGGCACTGTGCGTTCCTCTTGTTAGTTTCTAACTTCTTTCTTATCCCCCTGCTCCCCACCTGCTCTTGTTAGCCGTCTGTCTTGGCTGGAAAACTCCGGAGTTGGCTTCTCCTTGGATTATCCCACCATAAGTTTACACGCCGTCTCCAGGGACCTGAGCGCCTACCCAAGGGAGCACCTGTACGTCATGGTCAATGCCAAGTTTGAAGGTATGCCTGGAGTGTTGCTTAGGTGCTCCTGTGCAGTCCTGAGTGACAGGATTTCTTCTTCAAAAAGAGCAAATTTTGGCTTTAAAAATTATATGCTTCATTTAAGTATTAGCTTGTATTTCCTCTCTCACTTTTCCCAAGGAGAGTTACTTTACAAGTACAGCTTTGCACTCCTTTAGAGTCCCTTCTGTACAGTTCTGCTCTCAGCATGTGCCTGCACGCAGCTGGAGCTGCTGAGAGTCAGTTCTCTGCTCTCTTACACCATTTCAAACAGTTTAGTTCCTCTGCAGTCTCCCTGTGATTCCAGCTTGGGTGTTCTTTTTTCTTTATTGAATTTGTTAATGTTGCTGCCCTCTCCAGGCTTTATGAATTCCGGCTGTTTCACAGGAGCCTGGAAGCTTTCATTCATTTTCTCCCACAGCTTGCTTAAAAAGAAAAAAAAGACAGCAGCTTATATTACCAGACTTAATGGATCTTTGTAGATTGCCAGTCTCCCTGTGATTCCAGCTTGGGTGTTCTTTTTTCTTTATTGAATTTGTTAATGTTGCTGCCCTCTCCAGGCTTTATGAATTCCGGCTGTTTCACAGGAGCCTGGAAGCTTTCATTCATTTTCTCCCACAGCTTGCTTAAAAAGAAAAAAAAGACAGCAGCTTATATTACCAGACTTAATGGATCTTTGTAGATTGCCCACAAAACTTTTGACCAT